GCTATATCTTGGTACTTATATTGGTGGCTTATACACAGCAGCTACAGTCTCATTCACACATATTCAATACAAGTGCTGTAACAGCAGATGAATTAGTGTTGTAGCCACAGATAAAGCATCTAGCATTGAGTGATCACATCTTTAATTGTTAATGAGGGACCCCCTCAGGCAGCCAATGAGGTGAGACGTTTACCTCAGGGTTAAAACTATTGATCTGTTCAGGCAGAAAGCTAACAGAAGCAGATTCTTGCACATAGTACATATGCATTAGTTTCAATAAGCTTAATGCAACATTCCCTAATCCTGGAAATCTTTGTTTGTGTGTGTATGTATGTATATAAATACACAGGTGACGAGTACTTATGTTATCGTTGTGGTAGGTTTCCTGCGTTTTATGCGTGTTGTGCAACCGCTGTGTGTCTTTTTCTTCAACAATAAACCTTCTACTTGCTGTGCCAATATTTTCACTGGCTGCTCAAATATTATACATTTAAAATGTTTGTTCATGTATAATTTTATATTTAGATTTATATTTGTAATTGTAGTTTTAATAATTAATAATCATTTAATAATAATTGTATTTATTATTTAAAAAATATTATTTTGTATGATATTTTGCACCAAATGTTAAGTTTTCCTCACAAAGAAAATTGGCAGTAATAGCTGGACATTAGTCAGTAGTTGTAATTATACATCAAACTCAAAGACAGTCATAAATTCATAAACACTTGATGGAAACTCTTGGCAAACACTACCATTCAGAAATTTTGTGACAGTTTTGTAAGTTTTTAAAAGCAATTAATACTTTTATTCGGTGAGAATGCATCAAATTGATCAAAATGACAATAAAATCATTTATAATTTTACAACAAATTTCTATTTCATTAAGCAGCACAACTGTTTTCAACATTGAAATTAATACATGTTTCTTGAGCACCAAATCAGAATCTTAGAATGATTTCTGAAGGATTATGTGACATTGAAGACTGGAGTAATGACTGCTGAATATCAGCTTTGCCAGCACAGGAACAAATTACATTTTGAAATATATTCAAATAGAAAACCGTTATATAAAATGTAACAATATTTACTATATTTTTGATCAAATTATCTAATTGATCTGACCCCAAACTTTGTAACTTTTTTTTTACATTTAGATTAAATTAATATTTACCTAAATTAGGTTTCATTTAGGTTCATTTGAAATGTATAGTTTTCACATTTTTTAATATTTAAAAAAAAGTTTTTTTTTTTTTTTTAAAGCAAATGTTAAGTTTACTTTCTAAAAAGAATTGGCAATAATAGCTGGACATTAAATAGTTATTACAGCCAAGACTATCACAAATCATTCTCGCATTTTCAACAAATCCTCATCCTCAACTAGATCATTTTACCTTGGGCTGTCAACCCTGCCTCTTAAGATGCTTTCTCAACTATTTTTCTCTGCTTTTTGTGCGTGAACATTTGCTGTGTGCCAGGGTTTCCTCTATTTTTGTTGTTTAATGTTCAGTTTCCTTTGTGGTGGCATTCAGGCTGCCCGGTTCAGGTGTCGAGACGCTCTCTGGAAGCTCATCTGTGTGTGTGTGAATACAGCAGTAGAGTTTGCGCAAGCGGATGTGGATACACAATCATAAACACAGAGGAGGCCCAACACAACTGTGTATCGGAGTTACGAGCTGAGCTGGACATGCTCAGGTAGAAAGATCTGCTCAAGTCATACGGACTGTGATCATGTAAATGTTTTTAAAATGCCTTTGCGTGTTTGTTATAGGGCAGAATTAGACTGCAAAGTTGAAGAGGTAAGGCATGAAATGGAATCTCGCTTGGATTCCCAAAGACGACACATGGTGCAGAAGGAGAGTCTGCTGAGGAGTGAAGTGGATGAACTGAAGGTACGGTACTTTTCACATCAACAGGCTTTTTGTGTTTGCAGAAAGTTATTGACAGGTGTGTGTGTGTGTGTGCAAAGGGCCAGCTGTCCCACGTCATGTCAGATGTCCGCGTTCTGCTGGGTGCAGAGAGAGCACGCAGACAAGAGCTGGAGAGGGCGGAGCTTGAGAAGGCGGAGCTTCTTGAACTGTTAAAAAAGGAGGGGCTCAGACCAGCCACGCCCTCTGAAGCAGCACCGCCCCCTGCTGAGGTGCAGAGAAAGCTGAGCCCAAGAAGCCTAGCTTTGGACTGCATCAAAAGGAAGAATAGAGAGGTGACAGTCATCTGAGGACATTGCTTTTCACGGCAGAACAGCAAGGAAGAGGGAATGTCACATTATGCTAATAGAAAACCACTACATGGAACTAATCATCTGAATGAAGCCCCATTGTTGTTGTTCCTCTGGGTAAACTGAATGATTGATATGAGATTGGTTATGTTCTTTGATTTAAGCAAATTGTGTAGTTAAACAAGACCTTTTTACAAATGTTGTATGTTTTTAGAATTTTAGAGGCTCGTTTTTCCATTTGAAAGATCAACAGAGATGCATTCTGCTACATCCATTGATATTAAAACAGTTTTGACAAGGTACATTGTGGATTTCTGCATAAAAATACACTCAAACATATACTCACAAGAATTTAATCATATTTAACATTTTAAAAATAAGAGAAACACAAAACATGACAATGATATACACCATATCAGCCGATGGTTGAAACAGATACAGCAGATCCACATCCTGACTGGTCCTTTAGAGCCTGGCGGCTGAGTCTGCTTTGCTCAAGGCAGCGTTTAGCGAGTGAATGAGCGGACATGTCTGCCCCGTCCGCCTCCGCCGCTGTTGAACTTCCCTTGACCACGTCCACCGCCACTTATTCCTCCTCCTACACTAACTCCACCACCACTCAGCCAGGACAGACCCGTCCCTCTGCCTCTGGTGGCTCTGTCCCGAGGAGCCAATCGGTAAGCACCTGAAGAGTTAAGACAGAGGGGTCAGGAACTGTTTGACAGAGATGTAGGGTGAGCTAAAGACCTTTTTAAAAATTATATTCATTGGAGAGGCCGTTTTTCGCCTTTAATGATGAGAAAGAAGTCATCACTGAGGGACACATCCAGCAGGTGGCACAATCACCTAATGTTTTACATTATAAATAATTATAATATATCACTTGTTTAAAATAAATGACCATAATGATTTTTTTAAATCAAAGATTTAAA